GCCCCCGGCCTTTCTCATCATCGGGGGTCCATACCCACTTCCATATCATTCCCGCCCCCTTTAAGAATGTCCTTGTCCTCAAGGACTTGTCATCGACCATTAATTGGGGCGTCATCACCTCGACCACAACATCTTCTTTGGGCTCGACCCAAATGCCTTCAACCTCGAAAAAGTACTCATCGGGATATACATCGAAGATAGGCGGCCCTTCATAACCCGTCGACTCCTTTATGTACTCGTCGACCTTTGGGTCCTTAAAATATTTTGAGAATTCAAACATAAGGATAGGCTCCTTACACTTTGCGTCGTCATGGCCTTCTTCCTTGTCTGACTCGCCTAATACGTGGTCGGATGCTCTAACCAACTCGCGTTTCTTGAATTGCTGCTGCTCGATCGTCTAAATCTCAGGCACCTCGCCTTCGACCTCGGTTTCCTTGATCTCAGCTTCCTCGACTACTTCGTCGTCCATGAGTTTATCCTCGGGGTACATGTCGAAGATAGGTGGGCCATCATATTCCGTCGAGACATGCTCGACCATGCTCGCGTATGCGCCTACTTCCTCACCGGTAAAAATCTGGACACCTCCATGCCAAACACGCTCAATACTCTTGAGACCAAACTCCTTGGCTCTGCTATCTTTGCTTGCTTTTAACGTGACCCGGTGCTCTCCTAAGTCGAACTCCATGACTCCCATCCGGTAGTCGGTGGTCACCTTTCCTAAACCTTCGAGCCATTGTACTCCTAACACAATGTCGGGTCCAACCAAGGGTAGCGCATAGAGATCGGCTTTGATGGTGACTCCTTGAAATTTGATCGGTATCGCACGGTAAGCCTCCGAGCACTTTAGCTGTTCTCCATTGGCTACTCGGACCTCAAATGGTTCAACCTTCGTCGTTGGAAACTTCAACTTTCGAGATAGATCGGCGTTGATGAAGTTGTGCGATGATCCGTTGTCTACTAGCACGACTACACGACGGTCCTTGACCAACGCCGGCAGCCGCATCGTCGTCGGTCCTCTTGTACCATCCATCGCATGCATCGAGATTTTGGCCTCCTCTTCGGGAACCCCAATCTCGACTTCTTGCTCCTAATCCTTCTCGATCCCGGTCTCTTCCTCATTCGGGTCTATAACGTGGATGACAAAAGCCTGCTAGCATTGATGACCCGGCGTAAATTTCTCGTCGCACTTGAAACATAGTCCCTTCTCACGTCGGTGTCTTATCTCCTCGAGCGTCAAGTGTTTGACTCGTGGTCGTGTGCTTTTAGTCGGTCGAGATTTGTCAGGTGGTCGGCCACTCGGAACCATATCGCTTGCATCCAGTTGTGCGCGTCGTGTTTCGGGGTAAGGTGCATCTGCCCGTCCCCTTCGAGTTGCCACAAGATGATCTTCTCGGTGTCGGGCCACTTCCATAGCCGCCTGCATTGATTCTGGTCGCTCTAAGCGAACCTCCTCGGCTAGATCATACTTCAACCCACCAATAAATGCCCCAACCAACGCAGTCTCGGGCAAGCCTCGTACGCGACATGCCAATCGCTCGAACTCCTTAAGATAGTCGTGCAAGCTTCCTGTCTGCCGTATGCGTGATAGTGCCTCATTGTAGTTGTGGTAGTCGGACGATCCGAAACGCGTAAGTAACTCGCGCTCAAAGTCGTTCCACCTGATGACTTGTCGTCGGCCACAGTAGATGCTTGTAAGCCACTGCCACCACACGTTGGCTTCTCCATCAAGATAGTAAGCAGCGTACTTTACCTGATCGTTTCCTTCGATCTCATTCAGCTCGAAATATTGGGCAGACCGGTTGAGCCATGCATCGAGATCTGCGCCGGTGAAGGTGGATAACACGAGCTTTGGCTTTTCTGGCTTCGGTCGGTCGTGGTGGTTAGACGCCTGGGACCGTCGGTCGAAGTCGTCTTCTCGCTCGTACTCCTCGCGCCGTCACTCGCGGTCCACGTCTCGCTCGCGCTCATCATGTCGCCGTTCCTCTTCGTGTCGCTCACGGTCGTGGCGTCGTTCGAGATCCCGATCCCCATACCGCCTCGCTTGGTCATCATCATGCTCACATTCGCGGCGTCCCTCATGATCGGGCCGCTCGCGATTGGGCCATCGGGGTGGTGATTGGCGCGCCAACATGTTGCGTTCCATCTCATCGAACCTTCAGTTCATGATCTCCATCAATTCACGAACGGACGCCTTTGTGGTATCGTGAACCTCGCCTAGTGTATTCATAGCCTCGCTCATACTTCGGACTTGAACATCGAGATTATAGATCTTGTCCGTCATCTCCTTGTTGGCCATGGCTTTCTTTCTTCTCTCCGCTCTTTGCTTTGTGGACTCGTGGTTGAAGATGATGATGATGATGAAGAACGAAAATATATTTATTTATTTATTTATTTATTTATTTTTTTTTTTTGATAAGGGGGATGAAAAATAGGAAAAGAAAAAAGAAAAGGAATGGGGTAGGAGAAAAACACACGATTAACACCTCTCAATGAAAGCACCAATGATGAGGATCGTGTGTTTCGACTGCCGATAAGCCGCTAACCCGCGCCTTGAATCGCCGATAGTGTTTCTCTAGCCACAACAGCGCCTATTGAAACGAATAAAATTGCAGTAGTTTTTTTGGTGAAAAGACTAAAGCAAAGTTGGAAGAACAAAGTTCTAGATTTCTATTGATTTCTTGGATGATTGCATGATAACATAGGGGAAGGGGCCTTTATATAGGCACAAAATATATCTAGTCCTAATCTACCTAGGGAATTATTAAAGCAATAAAATATTAAGTGTCCTAACTAATCTAGATATCATAGAGCATTAAGGAAACTAAATAAGTAGGGATCTTGAACTTTTATTGCACTCCAAGTAACCCCAAGCCGCCCTTGGCACACTGCCCGCGCGCGCTGCCCTGCTGGCCCGCGCTCGCGCGCGTTGATACAGAAGTGGGTTTCGACCCCCGAAGAAGAGAAGGTCCGAGGGCCGAGACTAATGGACAAGGCCGAGCAAAGGGCGCAAACAAGGCTTGCATGGCCTAGGAGACGTACACGAGCCCGTATGCGAGGGTGCCGACGTGCACAATGGCATAGGAGGTCGAGCAAGAGGCTCGAGAGATCAAGGCTATAAGGGTCGAGTGCATGGATGTGCGCAAGGGCACACGAGAAGGTAGTCTATCGGCATGCAACATTAGGGCAATGGAGGAAAGACTATGCACAGTGGACCAGGGCTGAGTGTACGATAGCAGACTCGGGCGATGCGGTCGACTGGTGCAAGGCGTGCGGAAGGGAGCGGCGCGCACGACGCTTAGAGGCTAAGGCCTCAGGCATTTACATTGCTGAGGGGACGAGTGGTGCGCGAGGGGTGGATGTTTGGTGGACAGCGCGCACGTGGGACGACCGCAAGGAGGGGCGCAAACATGCACATTGGCGTAGACGCGCATGGCGCTTGGAGATTAGGCAAAGTGGTGCACAGGGGGAGGATGTTGGGAGGTTGATGCACACGAGGGATTGCAGCAAATGGACAAGCACGCATCGAGCGCTGGACGATACGCGGACAGCGCTAAACGCACGAAGGCACACAATAGACGAACGGAGCTCTAGGGCGCTGAGCGGGACACGCGGGCCAGTGGACAGGCGCGGGAATATCGCGGGGTTATCGAGCGTGGGTAGCAGCCGCGTGGTTGACAAGGACACGCGGGAGCAGGCGGCGCATGGGCGAGCCGCGTGCGCAGTTGGCGACACATGTGGGATGGGCGAAGACCTAGGCCTAGTAGGCTTAGGCAAGCTGGGCGACACATACGAGATAGTCACGCGGGCGAAGGGTGCGATCGCGTGCGCACCCGAAGGGCGAGGCAAGACCAAGGAAGCAAGCCTAGTCCTCATAGGAATAGGCATGGCGCAAATCCTAGACCCCGCAGGACTAGGAAAAGCAGTTGAGTGTCGTGATGCGCGTGAAGGATCGGTGACGGGAGTAAT